CGGTAGTCCCAGCTACTCGGGAGGCTGAGGCAGGAGGATTGCTTGAGCTCAGGAGTTTGAGGTTGCTGTGAGCTAGGCTGACGCCATGGCACTCACTCTAGCCTGGGCAACAAGTGAGATTCTGTATCCAAAAAAAAAAAAAAAAAAATTACAAAAATGTACCTAGTACACAGTTACCTGATTCCATAAAAAACAGACCTTTCAGTAAATCTCCTACAGTTTGTGCAATCTCAATTCTCCTAGAAGAAAAAGAAATGGATGTATAAGAAGCCAACTAGCATTGTGGCCAACCACCCATCTTCTATGTTGGCTGAAACCTCATAGTAATAAAATCTGAATGTGGCACATTTGCAAGGTACTCGGCAAATTATTTCTTTTTAATGTCCTGCTCATGTAAGAAAATGCAGGCATAAAATCAAACATTATTTGAAAGAAACACCTCCTGTTCTAAATGACCCGGCTGGTATTATATTAGCCCAGGAACTATCAAATGTTTTGTGCCCATGGTCCCTAGAGCTGGCAGTGGGCAGGTAGCTGATCAGAGATTTGCCATTCTTCCTTTCTCTTGCTGCAAAAATCCGGTGTGCTTTAGGAAGTGGAAGGGTCTGTCCCCACATCCTGGAACCGCTGACTGAGGTGAAAAGATCCTGTACCCCCCCTCACCATATTGCTCTCCTGCTATTCTGTGACCTTCTCACTGCCTGCCCATCCATTCTGCTTGCTGGGTGTGCACTTATTCAGAATATTATTACTAACATGGTAACAGCTGGGGAAACAACTCATCCGCAACCTGAAATACAAGAAAGCAGAGAGAGATGCTCGGAGCCCAGGAATTCTAACCTGGCATGGTGCTTCACCAATCTCACTCTCTTTTCCCCACACGTGCTTCCTCTTTCTCCACTTCCTGCTTCATTTAACATTATCACAGCCATTGTGAGCTGAGCTAGAAATTCTTCAGAAATCCTTCTAAAACTTCAGGTACAGAGAATCTTCAAAAGACACAGATGATAGTATATGGACGTCTGTGAAAAATACTGAGCTCTGGGGCAACGCCAGCCTCCATGGAGTGCTGGGGAGAAGGAAGCTCTTCGATTTTTGCTTTGCTCCCACTCTGCCCCCAGGAGGGGGGTGCTGACTCCTCTGGTTTTCTCTCCCATGTGTGTTCCTTTTAAGACCCTCGGGCTTCTGGATTCTTGAGGGTTCCGTTTTTGTTTCTTCACAAACTGTGGCTCTGACCAGCCCTGCCCCTCATGTCACTTGGACCTTCACAGGATCTCCTACATCATCTCCTAAAGGATTTGAATGTCGGTGAGGCTAAATTGCATCGTTCATTCATCCATTCATTCATGCAGTACTTACTCAGTGCTTACTATGGGCCAGGCACTATCTGGTGATATAGGGATGAACAAAAACATTTAAAGCCTCTCAGCATACTTCTTGATTTTTCTTTCTTCCACTGACTTTCACAACTCTACTCCATATTAGCACCCCTCACGGAGGGTAGTGATTCAAGATTTATTATCTCTGAGGATTTTGAGATGCTTGCGTGCATTTTTAAATCTCTCTGCAGGAGGCAACGACGAAGGCTGAGGTCATGCACACTGAATGTGCTCTTCACTCTCATCTTTGCTTCCCAGCAACTCCCTTTTGGCCTCTTGTCCCTAGTTTGATCCTCAGTCTGGAGCACATAGGCCATTAGTCTGAGATAATTTCCCCAGGACTGCTTTGTCAATCCTAAACTCTTGGAACTTTACCATGTTCTTCTTCTCTGATCCTGTCCCCCAGTTCCAGAGTCTTTACGTAACTGTGTGGACTGGATCCATTCCAGGCCCAACCTCGGCTGTGCACAATGCTTTGTTCATTTACTATTTACGAGTCCACCTTTCCCCCTAGAGTGCAGGCACAGTGGCTGGCACAAGATTGGTCCCAATGATTGCTTAACGAATGGAGTCAATGGCATTGGTGGCTCCGTGGTAGAATTCTTGCCTCCCCTGAATGGAGACGATCATTATCTCTGTGCTAAAGAGATGATCCTACTAACCTCCAGACCTGCATTTCCTACAGCCTGTGTCTCAATGCCAGGTTGTCATAATCATCTGGTTCAAGGATAAATGATTTTAATTACCACAGGTTAATACAAGGGACTGTAAACTTCTTTTCGTTTTCTGGTACTTTGAAAATCTTTAGTGAACAAGTATTGTTTCAGTTAAAAGAAATTGATCTATTAAAAAAATCTTTTTTAAAAAAGTCAGATATTTTCTTACTGTGTTACTTAAGCCTCACTGGCAGGTAACAAAAACAAACTACATTAAGCCGAAGTGGGGATTCTCTGTAAAGATTATGGGATGTCCAAGAATATGGCAGCACTTGGTAAATCCTAGACCCGGCCACCTGGGTGCCCTGGAAACTCTCTCTTTTTCCTTGTCTCCAGCCCATGAGGCGGGAGAGGTGGTAGGGGACAGTTCCCAAGGTTTACTACATGTCCAGCCCTGCAGAGAAGCTTCCTTATTTCCAGCTCCAGAATTCCCAAAAAGTAGGCTCCCAGTGGACCCCCTCACAGTGGCAGGGGTGGGGAGATATGGTGTTATGTGGCATGACAAACCCCATAGTCTTCTGTGGATTGGGGGCACATCTTTAGCAATTGGAGTGGGTAGATGTTGGGACATACCCAACAGATGTCCATCACACATGCTTCCATTCAGACTCTTCTCTTGCCCAGAAGTTTCTCCAGTGAACACAATGCTTCCCCCATCCTTCAAGGCTCAACCTGAAATGTCACCTCCTCTGTAACACCTTCACTGGGCTCCACCCAACCAAGTCTGAAGTGCTGCTTCTTCCCTGTGTGTTCTTCATTCTATTTTATTTTATAGTAAGTTCATATGTCTGCAAACTAACAAACAATTTAGTAGAATTAAGTCTAGATTCTAAAGTCAGATCTGAATCGAAATTCTGATTCCCGTAGTAACTAGCTAGCTTGACTTTGGGCATGTTATTTAGTTTCGGAGCTAGCTTCCTCATTTATATGAAAAAATGGCATAAGGAGTTGAGGACAGAGTGGTATCTTCTATGTTCTTGCGAGATTGGAAGAGGCAATGTCTGGAAATTCCTTACACGGTGGCTGGAACTCGGTGGGCGCTCGTGAATTGCTGGTTTTCTTCCTTCGGGTTTCTCTCTCTCGACTCTCAGTTCCTTGGGACAGGATTTCCCAGTGTTTATTAAATACTTCAAAGGTAAGTAGGTCTTTACCAAATGTCTGTTGAATCCAGTTGTCTTCCCATCCAGATTTAATTAGGAAATCGGCATTTACTGAGAGGTTCTAAGTGCTTTGCATGTATTGACTTAATCTTCAGAATAACCTGAAGAGGCGGGCTTTATTGCCTCCAATTTTATAGATAAGGAAACAGGTGCAGAAAAACTAAGAAACTTACTAGAGGTCAAATACTATTAAGTGACGGAATGAGGCAGTAGCTCCAGGGCCCTCTACTTCTAATTGTCCCAGCTACTGGTTTCTTACTGGTAGAAAATATCTCTATTCTGAAACAGTTCACATTGCTCTTTATTGTTGTTTGAACTAGCTTAATTTTTTTTCTAGTAATCTAAACGGGTAGTTGAGTTTTCATTCCTTTAATTAAAATTTTCCAAGAGACTTACAGCCTCCTATAACTGATGACAATGGTCTTCCTAAGGTTTTACCATACAACAAATAATTGTACTTAAGCATGAAGGGCCCACTTAAGCTCCATGCTGCAAACTCCAGTGGTCCTCAATGGGTAGGTTTCAATCTACTGGATGATCTTGGTGTTTTATCTAATGGATCCACAAGCTGGTTACCAGCATTGCTGCACCTAATTAACCACTTGCATAACTGTCCCAGCAGGCAACCATGGGAACTCAAGGAAAGCAAAAAAGAGCTTTCCACTGGGAAAAGGGTGAGGAATCCTGACCTGAGCTCTTTATTTATTTATTTATTTTTGACAATTCCAGTTATACTGCATTGTTAAGCCCAATAGTTTTAATATTCTTCTTTGATTCTATCTCACCTATCACCGTCATGGATCTAGATCACCTGTGCCAGAAATGACTTAGGTAACAGGAAAACACAGGGTATGGGAGAGAGTTCAAGAAAACACTGACCCCTATACTGACACGGCAGGTAGGTTTCTAAGGTATTTTCACATATACTTTTTAGCTCAGTGATATTCACCTCAAGTTTGTGATAAATACGCAACTACATTTTCTTCACTTAAATGAAGAAACAGAGATTTGCAGAAGTGACCCAGCAAAGATGTGCATGAACTTGTTACAATGTAGGTCTCCTGTCCAGTGCTTTCTCCACTTATATACTGTGATGTTTCTGGGGACAAAAAGAAGCAGGAGAAATATTTGCTTGGTTATAATTTGAAGAATAAATATTTTATTTTGGTGGGAAAAAGCAAGATATTCATTTCTTTTAAACTAGGTTTAAAAAGGGGAAGGGGTATCCTTAAATTTCAGGGCACATAAGCACACTCCAGGAAAGACATAAAAAGGAGAAAAGATGGCATCTGCTCGCCTAGGAAAGAAGCTAAGGGTCCTCAGACCTGTGTCCCTCATGGGCAAACTTTTTGGGGGGAATTATCCCAGTCCCAAGCAGATTGCCAAAGCAATCACTTCTCTTATCGCAGTTAACAGTTCTCATCCCTCCTTTTGTCACATCCTCCCACAGTCACTCTTGTATTGCCACCTGAGGTTTAGAAATTGGTACTTTTGGCTGACTTAGTGGCACCCACCAAAAAATTGTTGCTGTAATTCCTCCATTAAAAAGTTAGATTTTGTTAGGTTTTCCTTAATTTTTTGAGTTCTACAATGTCTCTTCATACTTCAGTGTCCCTGTCTCTGTATTAGTAATTTAGTTTATTATGTCTGGTAGAAAATTATCAGAGAAAAAACTCCCAAAGGAGTAGCCAACCTTCCTGATCTTAAAATCTACTATGTGAAGAAAGAAAATGACAAATTTTTAATCAAAGTAAGCAATAATGACAGGTTTATTTAAAATTTCCAGTAGAGAAAACCCACTAGTTTTGGAATAAAAGTACTCAATGTATGAGAGCATAGTGAATATAAAAGATTAACAGAAGAAAAATAAAACCAAACATAGTACAAAAAAATTAAAAAAGTCTGAAATGGATTTAAATTCTCCAAATATTTAACAGAGTTACTAGATTTGGCAAACAATTCACTTGAAAATTAAAGCCTATTTCTGTAATGTAAACTCCATAAAAACTGCTTTTTAAATTCAAGCACTCCATACAACTGGTGTTGAAACATGTAGGCAGTCAATTTCCGAGTAGCAGGAATTATTCATTTGCTCTCACAGTTATATGAATTAACCAGCTGCATACTGCTTTTTGAAGAGGATGGGATAGAAGAATGCCAAAAAAAAAAAAAAAAAGGATAAAATCTCTAAAAAATTGAAACACAGCAAAATTCAGACATCAGTTTGTTTCTTTAAAGCAACAAACCAAATTTTTACAGTATATTCTACACTTGCAGTTGTCATTTCCCTCTCCCCCCACCCACTTCAAATACTCCTAAATTCACTAGTCTAATCAATTCTTAACTTCCAAATATTTTGTACATACATATTTAGCAAAGAGCGTATGCCTAACATTATTCTGACAGCAGTATGGTCAGCATATAATTTTAGAAAGATTATTATGCATATCATCAAGATTAACCTTTACTTAAAAAACAAACAAAATACCATTACTAAACAAATAGTTTTAAAATATTATGAAAACCCATGAAAAGAAGACTCAACACGGGCTCCAAACCTGATAAAAACACACTTCAGAAAGACTATTAATGCTAAACTTCTGCCAAACGATGACCATAAAGTGCCAAACACAAAAGAATCTCTTAGGACTGTTTTTCTAATAGACAATTTGTCCCTGGCTTGGCCATCTCTCCTTTACCTATACACAAAGTCCTGCTCAAAGTCTGCATTTTTAGTTGACTTTACAATAGAATGTTACAATGTAAACTAAACAGGTTCTTGATATCAACAGTATGTTACCAAGGATTTCTTTTTTTTTTTTTCTTTTTTCTTTTTTAGATTTCTGAATCCAACAGTTGGTCACAGAGGTCAAGTATTATCAAGGCTCCTTTGTCAGTCCTCAATCATGTCTGACTCATCCATCCTTCAAGTACATGCAAGGCTCAATAGTTTTCAAGAGGCAGAAGCCTGAGGCCGTTTAAGACACAGATGAAATAGGATTATGAGGTGAACCCATCTGAGTGAGAACTTTATCCAGCCACTGGAGGGGGCCGTGCAGATGTATCTCAATCCAGCAGGGGGTGCTGGTGACATCCTGGCGGTGGTATTCTGCCCCCCAGCCCTAGAAAAAACATATTGGGGGTCATTTATTTATTTAATTCAGTGGTTAAATTGATAAAGTAAAAAGTTCACACAATCAGAGACCCTAATTAAAGCTATGGACTTTTCCCACAAGAAAAATGCACACGTGCTCAAAGGGACACATAATTGCAGGCAATTTCAGGGGAGAGGGGTTGGCTCCCTGAGGTCCATCCATGGATTCCAGATTAAGAATTTACTGGTTTGGGGGAATGAAAGTTTTTTTTTTGTTTTTTTTTTTTGTTTGAGACTGAGTCTTACTCTGTTGCCGGGGCTAGAATGCCATGGCATCAGCCTAGCTCACAGCAACCTCAAACTCCTGGGCTCAAGCAATCCTTCTGCCTCAGCCTCCCAAGTAGCTGGGACTACAGGCTACAGCCTGTTCTCAATGCCAGGTTGCATAATCATCTGGTTCAAGGTAAATGATTTTAATTACCACAGGTTAATACAAGGGACTGTAAACTTCTTTTCGTTTTTGGTACTTTGAAATCTTTAGTGAACAAGTATTGTTTCAGTTAAAAGAATTGATCTATTAAAAATCTTTTTTAAAAAGTCAGATATTTTTTACTGTGTTACTTAAGCCTCACTGGCAGGTAACAAAAACAAACTACATTAAGCCGAAGTGGGATTCTCTGTAAAGATTATGGGATGTCCAGAATATGGCAGCACTTGGTAAATCCTGACCGGCCACCTGGGTGCCCTGGAAACTCTTTTTCTTGTCTCCAGCCCATGAGGCAGGAGAGGTGGTAGGGACAGTTCCCAAGGTTTACTACATGTCCAGCCCTGCAGAGAAGCTTCCTTATTTCCAGCTCCAGAATTCCAAAAGTAGGCTCCAGTGGACCCCTCACAGTGGCAGGGGTGGGGATATGGTGTTATGCGGCATGACAAACCCCATAGTCTTCTGTGGATTGGGGGCACATCTTTAGCAATTGGAGTGGTAGATGTTGGGACATACCAACAGATGTCCACCACATGCTTCCATTCAGACTCTTCTCTTGCCAGAAGTTTCTCAGTGAACACAATGCTTCCCCCATCCTTCAAGGCTCAACCTGAAATGTCACCTCCTCTGTAACACCTTCACTGGGCTCCACCCAACCAAGTCTGAAGTGCTGCTTCTTCCTGTGTTCTTTATTCTATTTTATTTATAGTAAGTTCATATGTCTGCAAACTAACAAACAATTTTGTAGAATTAAGTCTAGATTCTAAAGTCAGATCTGAATCGAAATCTGATTCCCGTAGTAACTAGCTAGCTTGACTTTGGGCATGTTATTTAGTTTCGGAGCTAGCTTCCTCATTTATATGAAAAAACGGCATGAGTTGAGACAGAGTGGTATCTTCTATGTTCTTGCGAGATTGGAAGAGCAATGTCTGGAAATTCCTTACACGTGGCTGGAACTCGGTGGCGCGCTCGTGAATTGCTGGTTTTCTTCCTTCGGTTTCTCTCTCTGACTCTCAGTTCCTTGGGGGATTTCCAGTGTTTATTAAATACTTCAAGGTAAGTAGGTCTTTACCAAATGTCTGTTGAATCCAGTTGTCTTCCCATCCAGATTTAATTAGGAAATCGGCATTTACTGAGAGGTTCTAAGTGCTTTGCATGTATTGACTTAATCTTCAGAATAACCTGAAGAGGCGGGCTTTATTGCCTCCAATTTTATAGATAAGGAAACAGGTGCAGAAAAACTAAGAAACTTACTAGAGGTCACAATACTATTAAGTCGGAATGAGGCAGTAGCTCCAGGGCCTCTACTTCTAATTGTCCAGCTACTGGTTTCTTACTGGTAGAAATATCTCTATTCTGAAACAGTTCACATTGCTCTTTATTGTGTTTTGAACTAGCTTAATTTTTTTTTAGTAATCTAAACGGGTAGTTGAGTTTTCATTCCTTTATTAAAATTTTCCAAGAGACTTACAGCCTCCTATAACTGATGACAATGGTCTTCCTAAGGTTTTACCATAACAACAAATAATTGTACTTAAGCATGAAGGGCCCACTTAAGCTCCATGCTTGCAAACTCCAGTGGTCCTCAATGGGTAGGTTTCAATCTACTGGATGATCTTGGTTTTATCTAATGGATCCACAAGCTGGTTACGCATTGCTGCACCTAATTACCACTTGCATAACTGTCCCAGCAGGCAACCATGGGAACTCAAGGAAGCAAAAAAGAGCTTTCCACTGGGAAAAGGGTGAGGAATCCTGACCTGAGCTCTTTTATTTATTATTTATTTATTTTGACAATTCCAGTTATACTGCATTGTTAAGCCCAATAGTTTTAATATTCTTCTTTGATTCTATCTCCTATCACCGTCATGGATCTAGATCACCTGTCCAGAAATGACTTAGGTAACAGGAAAACACAGGGTATGGGAGAGAGTTCAAGAAACACTGACCCTATACTGACACGGCAGGTAGGTTTCTAAGGTATTTTCACATATACTTTTTAGCTCAGTGATATTCACCTCAAGTTTGTGATCATACGCAACTACATTTTCTCTTAAATGAAGAAACAGAGATTTGCAGAAGTGACCCAGCAAAGATGTGCATGAACTTGTTACAATGTAGGTCTCCTGTCCAGTGCTTTCTCCACTTATATACTGTGATGTTTCTGGGGACAAAAAGAAGAGGAGAAATATTTGCTTGGTTATAATTTGAGATAAATATTATTTTTGGTGGAAAAGCAAGATTCATTTCTTTTAAACTAGGTTATAAAGGGAAGGGGTATCTTAATTTCAGGGCACTAAGCACACTCCAGGAAAGACATAAAAAGGAGAAAGATGGCATCTGCTCGCCTAGGAAAGATCTAAGGGTCCTCAGACCTGTGTCCCTCATGGGCAAACTTTTTGGGGGAATTATCCAGTCCACAGCAGATGCCAAAGCAATCACTTCTCTTATCGCAGTTAACAGTTCTCATCCTCCTTTTGTCACATCCTCCCACAGTCACTCTTGTATTGCACCTGAGGTTTAGAAATTGGTACTTTTGGCTGACTTAGTGGCACCCACCAAAAATTGTTGCTGTAATTCCTCATTAAAAGTTAGATTTTGTAGGTTTTCCTTAATTTTTTGAGTTCTACAATGTCTCTTTCATACTTCAGTGTCCCTGTCTCTGTATTAGTAATTTAGTTTATTATGTCTGGTAGAAAATTATCAGAGAAAACTCCAAAGAGTAGCCAACCTTCCTGATCTTAAATCTACTATGTGAAGAAAAAATGGAAATTTTTAATCAAAGTAAGCAATAATGACAGGTTTATTTAAAATTTCCAGTAGAGAAAACCCACTAGTTTTGGAATAAAAGTACTCAATGTATGAGAGCATAGTGAATATAAAAGATTAACAGAAGAAAAAATAAAACCAAACATAGTACAAAAAATTAAAAAGTCTGAAATGGATTTAAATTCTCCAAATATTTAACAGAGTTACTAGATTTGGCAAACCAATTCACTTGAAAATTAACGCTATTTCTGTAATGTAAACTCCATAAAACTGCTTTTTAAATTCAAGCACTCATACACAATGGTGTTGAAACATGTAGGCAGTCAATTTCCGAGTAGCGGAATTATTCATTTGCTTCACAGTTATATGAATTAACCAGCTGCATACTGCTTTTTGAAGAGGATGGGATAGAATGCCAAAAAAAAAAAAAAGGATAAAATCTCTAAAAATTGAAACACAGCAAAATTCAGACATCAGTTTGTTCTTAAGCAACAAACCAATTTTTACAGTATATTCTACACTTGCAGTTGTCATTCCCTCTCCCCCACCCACTTCAATACTCCTAATTCACTAGTCTAATCAATTCTTAACTTCAAAATTTTGTACATACATATTTAGCAAAGAGCGTATGCCTAACATTATTCTGACAGCAGTATGGTCAGCATATAATTTTAGAAAGATTATTATGCATATCATCAAGATTAACTTTCTTTAAACAAACAAATACCATTACTAAAAAATAGTTTTAATATTATGAAAACCCATGAAAAGAAGACTCAACACGGGCTCCAAACCTGATAAAAACACATTCAGAAAGACTATTAATGCTAAACTTCTGCCAAACGATGACCATAAAGTTCAAACACAAAAGAATCTTTAGGACTGTTTTTCTAATAGACAATTTGTCCTGGCTTGGCCATCTCTCCTTTACCTATACACAAAGTCCTGCTCAAAGTCTGCATTTTAGTTGACTTTACAATAGAATGTTACAATGTAAATAAACAGGTTCTTGATATCAACAGTATGTTACCAAGGATTTTTTTTTTTTTTTTTCTTTTAGATTTCTGAATCCAACAGTTGGTCACAGAGGTCAAGTATTATCAAGGCTCCTTTGTCAGTCCTCAATCTGTCTGACTCATCCATCCTTCAAGTACATGCAAGGCTCAATAGTTTCAAGAGGCAGAAGCCTGAGGCCGTTTAAGACACAGATGAAATAGGATTATGAGGTGAACCCATCTGAGTGAGATTTATCCACACTGGAGGGGCCGTGCAGATGTATCTCAATCCAGCAGGGGTGCTGGTGACATCCTGGCGGTGGTATTCTGCCCCCAGCCCTGAAAAAACATATTGGGGGTCATTTATTTATTTAATTCAGTGGTTAAATTGATAAAGTAAAAAGTTCACACAATCAGAGACCCTAATTAAAGCTATGGACTTTTCCACAAGAAAATGCACACGTGCTCAAAGGGACACATAATTGCAGGCAATTTCAGGGGGAGAGGGTTGGCTCCCTGAGGTCATCCATGGATTCCAGATTAAGAATTTACTGGTTTGGGGAATGAAAGTTTTTTTTTG